TTCTGTATCTGTGTCAGAAAAGATATATGGATCTTTAACAAGATATATGGCCATTTACCTTGATAAAGATATATGACTTTGTCAAGTCATATATCTTGATAAAGTTCCATATATCGAATAGCGCATCATGGTGAAAGTGGTAATGCTCCACTTGTGAAAGTAAATCTGTTGGGCCTCACCTTGACAACAATTCACACTGCCAGACAGGTCACATAAAAACGCTTCTACGAACAGCATCATGTTGGCAATGTAAAAAGCAACAACGACAAAAAAAAAATTCCCTTTTAGGTGAACACAATTTACAGTTAAATGCAAGGAAATTATGCAGTTTTTGAAGAATACAGTCAAGTATGATAACTGTCTTGACTGTAAGCATTTTGTCTGCAAACAACAAAAACAAGTTTCATCTTGTTTCTAAAACTTTAACTACAGAACCAATATTACTGTTAAAAATGTATCCTCTCCTTTATATATTTTTTATTTGTATTTTGCTTCTTATGTTGATTGAGACATGGGGTTTCTTTTTTTATAATCAAGCTGGCCTGTCAACTGCCAGATGCAGTCTGCATTTAATAAAGTTAATTTATTGGATTGTAGGATTTGTCTGAAATGCTAAGATAGTATATGTGAAATAAATGTGTAAAATAAATTAATAGATATGATAAAGTGCTATACATGTGACATGCACTGGATAGTAACTACAGATGTGCTGGGTCAGTCACAGAGGTGATGTTGCCGTTCATCAGCCCCATTGGCCCTTCTTACCACCACCAGCAGGCGGTGAAGTATCTTGCCCAAGAACACAACGACGGAGGCAGACAGAGCAGGGATTGAACCAGCAATTCACCAATTGTCTGATGAACTCCTACATCAACATCACTGCCCCTACATAAAAGTAAATGTGACTAAAAAGACAAAAGCTGAGCGGTATTTCATGCCCCTGCAAGTCAGGAAGACACTGTTATAAATGCACAAAGCATTTTCTTTGAGACAATGGTTTTCTAGAGAAAGCTTTCAACATGTTCTTTTGTAATGTAGGTGCAAGCAATAGATAGTGCAACTGTTCCCACATTTTAAAGAAGTAATGCAATGGAAATACTAAGGAACTGTTACAAATCTTCAACCCCACTTTTAACCAAAAAGAGGTTGAGTACATTTTCACACCAGGACATATATGCACAAAGAATATCTGGTCCATATGAAGCAATTTATTTCAGTTGCATTGTGTTGAATTGTGTTATTTTAGAGCAAATTCAAATGTCTTAAAAAGTTCACAAGACAAACCTCTGGGCCAAGACATGACCAATTACGGTATATGGAATATGGAATTCAGTTTAATTCTAATTTGGTTCACAGAGCTGAATGATGAAGATTAGATGGAAAAGAGGGGAAATGCTGATGTTATTCAGTATAACTTTCCAATAAGCAGTACAAGCCTGAAGCCGTTGCTGCATGAATGAAAAAACCCAGAATATTTGCATGTGAAATGGGGAGAGGGTGTTCGGACTCCAGCTGTAAAACGGTAAGCTGAGGCCAGAAGTTTTAATAGTTCAGGTAAAGTCTTTTTCCTAAAATATAAATTACTTCATAATACTAGAACTCTAATTGTGCATTGTTAAATCCAGCTTTAGTCAGGTTCACATCCTATTGCAAAATTACTGTTACATTTTGATATATCTCAGGAAAATTGGCTGACTACATCAAATATTTGACTTTGCAATAATCCCTAATGCAGCACACATGGTAACAGTGGAGAGGAAAAACTCTCCACTGTTCCACAAAAATAAAAGACTTTAGGCTTGATGCAGCCTGGTGCCCTCAGACTGGAGACTTGACCTGGACTCCTGGTCTGTCACTCAAGTCTCAGTAACAACTTTTAACTCATGTAATAAAGAGTGAAAGGAAGCTGGTGAGTCAGCTAGAAACCAGTCAGTAAAGCAGGCAGGTAAAGTGTAATAACCAAACACCAGTCTTGATTAACTCACTGTTACTTCTAGCTGTATGAAGGCCTACTTATAATATTCTAAATGCCTCACAGCATCAGGGACAACCGAGGAGTCTTCACCTAGAAGCCTCGTTCAGTTTTCTTCAGAGAAAGTGTTGCTGCACCACTGAGCTCACATACTGGTGTCAAACGTTTGTGCAGGTTTGTGCAGCACATAATTTCGTTTGTGCCACTCTAATTTAAAAGGTATTAATAAATATTTCCAGAGGTCAAAAAAGGTATATTTTTAGATACTCAATTTCTTGAGTATCTAAATTTACTCAAGAAATGATTTCGATAACTATAGTTACTATCCACCACTGCAGATGACATGAGTGAGAGCAAATGTATGGCTATGAAAAATACATCTGTACTTAGAATGAAGGAAGATTTAAATAAATACCAAATCATTAAAAAGCAGTATTACATGAAAACTCTGGCGGAAATGTAGCTTTTGACAGATACTCAAAATTTTTCTCAATGAGGCCGTGATGAAAAAGAAACCTCACAGAACAAGATCAATTTCATGATCTTGAAATTGATCTTGTTCTCTGATCAATTTCACAGAGCAAAAAGGCCTTTACCATTGGGAAAAAAACCCTAGAAAACTGCATTTCATCCGGGATAAAGTGTCCATTTAGTGCAGAAGAGCTCCTATGACTGGTATTCCTTCAGGATCTGACCGGCGATGATCAGCCTCTGGATCTTGCTGGTACTCATGTACTCATGAGATCAAAGCTGATGCTCATGAGTACAACACTCAGAATGAGGTTTGTATGGGGAAATGGGAAGAGATGGCATTCAAAAGGAGGTTAAAGAAAGTGGTGAGGTTTTTTTTATTTTGGGAGATGAGGAGAAATATATATACTATATATTTAAAACTTGTCTTCATTTTCTTTGAAGAAACAATAAATACTTTTTCAGTGTTGTTATGGATATTTTGTCAGTTCCATTTAAGGGATTTTCACTTTAAATGACTTGGCTTGTTACATCAAGAGGTCCACCCTGCCAAAACATCTTGCCATTGTTTTGACCCCCATGTCAAATTTTCTAGGTCTGCCACTTATGTTGTTTTATCAA